TAAAAAATTTAACAGTTAGACACGGTTGTAAACATCAAGGGAGGTAACTAAGTTATTGAAATGTCTAATTATCTTTTAAAAAAGAGAAACTATATATATATATATATATGTGTGTGTGTGTGTGTGTGTGTGTGTGTGTATGTGTGTATAGTTAGCGGTCTTTCGTTTAATATATATTATATTTAGTTAGCAGTCTTTCGTTTAAAAACAAGTTCCTTGCATACAAGAATTTTTTAGTTATTTCAAACGAAAAGTGTTGTCTGTTATATTAAGGAGAAAATCTATATAAATACACGATGAGAGTCAAATAAATTCGTATCACTGAAAAATGGTAAAATCCTCAGACATGTTATCATTTTCACAAATCAGGAAATATAAATGTCCAGCATCTCAAAGATCTTTAAGAGACGTAGGGAACAAATCGGTATACGAAAAATCTTAGAAACAACATCTATCACAGGATAAGTAAAATGTGCATTATACATCAGAAAAATAAATGCACGTTGGGAATATATGCCGTCATTTAGCTTACAACCTTGCAAAGCAAAGTATTTCTATGCAACTATATGCAAAATTATACATAAACAATCGAATTCATAATAATTAATACTAAAAATGAAGAAAGAAAAGACAAACAAAATTAAGAGAAAATATATCAAATTTATTTAATTATTTTCTATTTTTCATCAAAATCCTGCCATCAATGAGCAAATGTTTTGGGTCGGGTTTGGGATAAAATAAAATAAGGGACTTGCCTGGTTTACTGTGCGGCCAGTCGACGGAGAAAAAATCGGGAAAGGAGAACAATAAAGTCATAAGATGGCGGGGGAGGAGAGAACTGGGCAGTTGGAATATTTCATTTCCTCCAACAAGCGTGAGGGGTAACCGAGTAAAAACATGTATAAAGAGGTGTGATTTATTGGCCCGAACGAAATGAGACTTTCACTGTGTCGATGTGATAGATTTTCTTGAACCACCCGTAGAGCCGAATAACAGATTGCGTTTAAATGCGTGAGTTGACACACACAGACACACATATATATATACGCAAAACATATACACACACATACACTTAAATTACCATGCAGTAGTACAAAATGCGTTTTACATATATGAAAACACATTAACTATTATTTGCATATAAGCCTCAAAACTTTTCTCCACGTTTCACAAAATCACGGAAATACATACACGTAAACATAGACACATACATATAGATAATACAGATACATACACAGGAACAAATCTAATTTTTATGCAGGATAGACGGAGGGCTAGTCAGAATTTATAAACGTACAATCATTTTTAATTATCATATACGAATATTGACACCAAAAACGTGCGTATATAATGAAGTGTAGGGAAGCATTTTTTTCTATAAATAAAACGAAAAACGTATATCTAAGAGGGAATGTACAAAGGAGTTACGTAGATCTCAGGCGAAGTGGCGTTTTGAAATCCACATGTGGAAATTCGTTATAAAATAAGAATATTAAATAAACACCTGCACTGTATGTATGCTTTCACAAATGAATTAATGAAACAGCTTTTCATACCCGTGTACGCACAAACTCATAAAACACATACATACAAATATATAGACATATGTATATTTTATTGGATTGGTGTATAATTATCAAGCGTTTTTTTAGGTGAGTTAAACTTGTTAATAAAAATTGCGGTTTTTTTTTGGTGGGGGTACTTTTTCTTAATAAGAATATCATTTTATTTTCAGGTTATAAAAATGTGTGTCGATAATCATACTCACTTAAAAATGTTATTGTTGAATTGTCATGTTACTTTTTCCATAATAAATATTGTTTAAAAAACGCCTGATAATTATGCACCAACCCAATATTTTACAATGATGTTCACTTTTACAAAGCCAAAGAGAACTCTAGGTAGTGGGTTACAGATCAAGAGGCACAGCTTATGGGGATATCTGGGACAGATAACGATTGGCCCGAAACTTGAACAGGTCATTTTTGTGTTCGGAGAAGGATTACTTTGGGAGTAAGTTATATACATACACACAAACTCACACAAATCATGATAATCATGAATATTGTTATATTCATCTCTTCAGACCGGAAGTTTTTAAGAAACTCCTTGGAATTATCCCCCAACCAATTAGATAATATATATATATATATATATATATATATATATATATATATATATATATATATATATATATATATAATATATGGGACAAATATTAATGGGACAAAAAATAAAAAATGTTGGACAATTTTTGTCTTTATTTTCAGCAGAAATTGAAGCAAATATTCGAACATTGGAACGGCTCATAATCATATATAATAGGCATTCATTGTTTGTTAGATTTAATAGTATATATATATATATATATATATATATATATATATATATATATAGAAGAAAAATATACTGAAAAAACAAACAAAAATCCTAATATGCGATTATGCTGTTTTAATGTTTAATGTCAACGTCGGACGTTTCGGGCTAATAGACCATCTTCAGGACATATTCATAAAACATAATTAACATAGACCATATACAATTCAACATGAAAAAGACAGTTATCTGTTTGGATTGGTATTGCTTTTATGTCCATCGTCCACATAGACAAACTAGAATTATGATACACTTACACCCATAACCTTACAAACGAACATAGCTTGCCTAGTCAAATGCACGTGAAGTCTGCTTTAGCAATAAAAATTAAACAACACAAAGACAATACTAGAATTTTTACATATCTTATTCTGATGAAGCTTTAATAAAAGAGAAACATGTTAGATTTATGAATGTTCATGTTTGTTCTTTTATTCTATTCTCTCCCCCTTTTTCTCTCTCTCCTCTTTTATATATATATATATATATATATATATATATATATGTATATATATATATATATATATATATATGATCAGAGTTGAATCAGACCAGGAAAAATAGTGCTGTAAAAAATAAAATAAAAGTCAAAATAATATGTAGAGTTTTTAACTTTAAAAATCAGAAGGTCAGTTGAATCCGCTACTTTAGTTTTAATCTTACGGTGCCCTCAGGCGATTTTTATCAAATGATCTCTTAACGCAAATTAATATTGATGTTAGTATGATTTTCTTTTTTAGAAGAAGCAATGTCCGCCAGTATTAATTTTTAATTGTATTTGTTCATCTTAATTTCACTTGCTGAAAAGCCAGTTTTTGGTGTGTGTGTGTGTGTGTGTGTGTGTGTGTGTGTGTGTGTGTGTGTGTGTGTGTGTGTGGTCAACGACGAAATTATTGGTACACCCACAATTTTGAATATTTTTATCCATTAAGGCCCATATGTCAAATTTGTTGCATTTAATCTATTGTTCTGAAAATTGAATTTCATATCTCGTTTTTTATGCTAATTAACATATATACAAAAAACTGGCACATCATACGTGTATTAGATTATGAGAAATGGATAAAAATATTCAAAACTGATGGGTGTACGAATAATTTCGTCGTTGACTGTATATATATATATATATATATATATATATGTGTGTGTGTGTGTGTGTGTGTGTCTGTGTGTGCGTGCCTGTGTGTGTGTATGTTCAAAATAGAAATAATAAAGCAAGGACAAACGAAAGGAGACCAATATAATCAGTACGAAAAACATTAAATATTAATTATTAACCATATTACAGAAATGAAGCGCCAAAAGAAAGGTTTTAAGTTCGAATTTTGGGATATGCCCATGTTTTTCATAAACAGACCGAATATATATATATATATATATATATATATATATATATATATATATATATATATATATATGTCGGTGAGTAATTCCCATTTCTTTGTTTATTGATATTCCTGTCCGAGTAGATGTCTTGTTTTTTTTTTTTTTTTTTTTTAAAGTGTGAATTGTATCTCGGGGAATATGTCTGTGCTTTGAACCTGCAAAGAGACTCATGGGTTCGAAATTTGTCGATTAAATTATGTTTTATATATATATATATATATATATATATATATATATATATATATATATAACAGAATTTAATCGTTTTCATTGAAATATTATTTGTGAAATGTGAATCAGCCACAAGTTTAATTGACTGCTCTGAACAGACTGCAATGTCTTTTTGGATGACAATACAATAAAACGCATTTTAAAAAAAAATAGATCTGTTATTATCTTTATTCATTTTATGGACTGTTACGACGGCGAGTGTATACAATTTACAAATCTATATCGTCTTTATTAGCGCTTTCACTACCATCGTCGCCATCATTATGTCTGGGGTAAAGTAGTACTAAGTCTTCAAGTAAGTGTCTCAATAATTGTTCTGCCATCTATTCACACAGGCTCATCAGGTAAGACGCTCGTTTTCTCTATCTCTCTTGCCTTTAATCTGCCTCGAGTGTGTTAAACTTTCTAAGCTGTCCTTCCTCATTATATATCCATGGAATTTCAGCTATCTTTTTCTGATTCGGATGTATGTGTTCTCTCTGTTGTCATTACTCACTCTGTCCATGGAATTTCCGATATACTTTTATAGAACCACATTTCTGCTGCCTGTAATCTTCCCCCAACCGTGGGAAAACTGTCCAGCATTCACTTCCATATAAGGAGGTGGATAGCAATCCACCATTTCTTCTTCATCATCATCATCATCATCTTCTTCTTTGTTTTTTTGTTTTGTTTTGTTTTGTTTTTTTCCTAAGCATGGAAGCAGTACTCATTAACGCATTCTTTTACATTTCAGATGAAGATGGACTTCCTGGGATTTTCTTAATGTGTCTATTTGCATTCTCTTTAACGATTTCAGCGTTCAATTATTACTGGAATAATGGTTCTGTATAAATACTAAGTTCTTTTATTTTCTATTTACATCCTTATCATCATCATCGTCATCATCATCATCATCATCATCATCATCATCATCCTTATCATCATCATCATCATCATCATTACAAATAAATAATCAAATAAAATAAATTTTCATTTTTCGATTTTCCGTTCATACGGCACACTTACGACATTATCACGTTGAAACATCGGTTCCCGTACGACGATCGAAGTTAAGCAACGTCGAGCCTGATCAGTACCTAGATGAATGACTGTCTGGGAATACCAGGTGCTGTAAGCTTGGATGTGCGGGTGGTACAAAGCATAATGGCTCGGAATTGTTAATCGGAGGACCGAGTTCCAATTCTAGTTCACTTATGCGCGAATGCCCTTGGGAAAGGTATGAATCCACCACTTAACTCCCAAGCTATGGGTTAATTAATAAGACTTCTATCATATAATAATTATTATATCCCTACTACCAAAAAAATTACAATCTAAAATAAAATTATTTGTCTTTAACTTGCAATGGGTTGACAAACCGTAAAAAATGAATCAATCAATGAATCATGTTCACATGACTTACCATTATTATTATTATTATGTTCAAACCTGTATCATTTGGTGAATTTTGTTGCAAATCAAGTGACAGCAAGACCTCTCAGCTTCCAGCATTCATTTTAATATTTCGTCTTTTTTCAATAATACTGTTGTGAGAGTAATTTCAATTCTTTCTCGTATTTCTGTTCTTGCCTTTTATTTACAAGTTCAAGTGTTGTAATAAATAATGATACTGTTGTCACGAACATATTTCAAATGTTCTCTGACGAAGTCCTGATAATATGAATCCAGTTTTTTACTTCTTCTCAGTTTTACCAAATGTTTATCTAAAAATGATTTTCCCCCAATTGTCAAGTATTCATGTCTTTCCTTATGATTATTACTTCAAGGCCTCTGGAATTTAGTGCCCACCAAAAATCTTACATATTCTGTTTTTTTTTTACCGTATTTTTTAATCTGATATTATTTTTTATTATTACAAACGCTATTGTGTTTCATATACCTGTTTGTATTGCTCTCCCTGTTTGTTTGTTTTTTTTCCTTAAACGTAAATCGGCCAAGATAGCTCAGTGCTACTAACGAAAAATGTGTCTCCCAACAGAAATCATGTATGACTTTCTTGATGAACAAAGCGAATACAGGATCTATTCATGTCGGGAGGCATATTTTTCTTTAGTATGACTTCTTGATCTAGGCCGGTTGATGTTAATTTCACTGTTTAAGAAAATAAAAAAGATGTCATTTTAAACACGTGTACCCACTAAAAATAACGTTTATAATAAGAAGAAATTTCCTGGTTTGTATTTATGCTATACGTCCGTATGGTCAAATCCACGTAGCCCTAGGTATGACGATAAACTACATCCAGCAGTAAGTTCTCTTACCAAGCGACTGGAGGTTTTGCTGTTGTACCCAGGTTCACTCTGGCTCAGAGTGGTAGCACCTGTTAAGATCGAAGCTATGGGCAAATTGTGAACCCCAAACTAAATTTTATGAAAGTATAAAAATACATTTTTATAATAAAAATACCAGCAATACATTTTTATATAAATAATTACCAACAATATCTATTTATAGTAAAATCACCAACAATACATTTTATCTGTGGTTGAAGCCATAAAACCTTTTAGATTTCGGCATTAAATAACCCAGAGCTTGATAGGCCTATAAACAAAATCAACCAATCAAAATCAGCTAATCAAGTCCAAGTGGTTAGTACAGTGCTTACTGAATTCACTTTTCTCCCCAGTCAAGTCTATGTTTGTACTATCTCTAAAACAATTTGCTATACTCACTTCTACGAGTGATATTTTGAATCCTGCAAAGTCAAAATTTGCAGTATTTTTGCTGCTTGAAGTCTTTTGTTCTAAGGCATTTTTTCTAAGCTTTTGTAATCAAAGAGTTAGTGTTCAAGTGATAATTGCATGTCCAAGTATTTTCGTCTGAAATTCATTTTCTTTGTTTCTTGACATCTAGGGAAAAGCAAGTAGGGTACATACTATGGGCGCCATCTTGTAGGAGTGACACTACACAAATAAACACTAAACAAACAAATAATTTCTATTTTAATATTCACTAATTAGGTATTAAGCACTAGATAATAAAATCCCTTGGCAATATTTTAGATTCATGTCAATAGCAAACTTTCAAATTTTGGAAAGCTTTTAAAATTTATTGTTCAGTATGGAGCTAAGTATGTCTTTTCAAATATTCATGCGCCCTGGTAAGACGATAAACAACATCCGCATCCTGGGGAAGATGATAAACTACATCCGACAGCAAGGCCTCTAATCAGATGGTTTTGAGGAGCGTGAAACCACCTGTTAATTGCTGGTGTTCCCAGGTTCACCCTGACTCGGGGTGTTAGCACTTGTTAGGGTCCCAACTATGGGCAAATAGTTAACACACAAACTGGGGTCAAAACGTTATGAAAGTGTTAAAATAGATTTTAATTCCAACAATACATTTTTGTAAAAAATCATTACCAGCAATAAACATCTTGTCGGTATTAAATAACCTGTTGAGGTGTATATATGCTGTAAAGCAAAACAAAGCCAACAAAACCAAATATTCATATTGTATTTCAAATTATGCTAAAACTTATATGTTCAATAGTGAGATGCGAATGTTGTTTCAGTAAGGTGAGGCAAATTCTGTCCTCTGAACCAAGCAAGATTCATTTCTGTGTTGATGGTGGGTAGATGTATAAGTAACAAAATAAATAATAATGTTTTTTTCTTTAATTAAACATTCTTTGGTAAATTTGGACCTTTGAGCCCGTAAAGAAACGGAACATGAAAAGGAGGGTTTATTTTTCCATTGACACCGGTATTATTTTAATTACCTTCATTCCCTTGCCAATGTGCATTGTCTTAAAAATCTATGATTAGAATTTTAATAAAATTGTCTTTAGAAAAAATTGTCATGTAGTGACATTATCCATTATTGTCCATAATAGTTTTGGATGTAGTCGTAATTATTTTGATATCATTAAGAGTGGATATATTGTTAATGCGTTTACCACATGTACTTTGGCAAGGTTCCTCAAGGATCAAAACGTGTTGGTATAGAAAAGATTTCCTTTTGTCTTTTCTTTCATACATAAAGTTTTCGGGTGACGCGTTTTGTCCTTTAGGACTTCATCTGATTAGGTTTATTTATGTTAATACTACGCAACTACACGAACGAGAATCGCTAGGAATTTTAAATAAAATATTTTTAATATCAGTTTTGTGTATATAATCTAGCCAATTTCATTTAGATTCTTTTTGTTTCCATCATCTTTCTTATTAAATATCCGACATTGTGATAACAGATCTGCCAAGAATGGTGAAACGTTGTAAGAAGCTGGACGCAAATTTCCTGAGGGCGGACTAGCGATTAAAGCACTTTCTAAACGTTTTTGTCTTAGTGGATTGTTTTCTTTTTAATTAGCATAGGTATTTTTATGTCAAAATTGTGGTCAGTATTGATACGGTGAGCAGCTAATGCTTTTCATGTGGTGTTTCTCAAATATCTCTTTTGTGTTCATGTCATGTCTTATTTTAACTTCTTGAGGTTTCTCCACTATAATCTTTCCAGCAATTTTTACCGGTGATAGAGTAAATTTCAACTTTGGCTTGTTGTTTTGTTTTGTATTAAGTCTTTTAATGTTTTAGATTTAGTTGTGGCACATCGAGTCGAGTTTAGATAAATTCTTTCAATTTTTATTTGAGACAGACTTAGTGGGTAGAAGACTATTTTTTTTTAATCGTTGGACTATTTTGCAATATTTTATGAGACTTTTGTTTTTATATATATATATATATATATATATATATATATATATGGACAATTTCGTAAAAGTTCTATTTGAACATATTTCGCCAATCAAGCCCACGTCATTTATTTGACAAGATTACTATATATATATATATATATATATATATATATATATATATATATATGAAAGGACATTTTATCCGACATTATTTTTATTACTATGAATGTAAAAAGTAAAAGATATAATTCAAACATATACTCACTAAAAATAACGTTTATAGTAAGAAGATATATATATATATATATATATATATATATATATATATATATATATATATATATATATATCGGATCTTTTAGTTTTAATCTTCCTTTGAGTTGATTTTTCTTTATGTATTCATGTCATCCTTGGGCAAACTAATTAATTAAACATTTATTATTAACAGTTTCGTAAATTTTAGAATTTTTCTAACAAGTCCTTTCTTCGGCTATTAGGTTTTTCTTTCTGTATATGGTTGAAGTCGTCTGCTTTACTTTTCTGTCGAGAATATAAATTTTTTTCTTTTACAGTAAGCTTCACTCTGTACAATGCCCGAAAACTAAGTTATTTGCTTTCTAAATAGTGGACATATAAAATCCAATACCGTTTTACTTTTTTAACATTTTTAATGATAGATTTTAATTAGAACTTCTACCATTTTGCGTAAAAATGATATTTTGCACATTCCCAACATTTTTCTAACTGGCGATATCTCTCTTTATAATATTTGTTCAGCTACACTTGAAGATCCACAATCTTAAATATATATTTTTATTCTATTTGTATTGTTACCATTATGAACAACTTCAAAGATTTTAATTCCTCGAGTATATACTGATGCATTTCAAGGAATATAAGTCATAGATTAGTAAACGTTTCTGTTTTCCCATAATAGTAATTAGCATCGTCTTAAATTGTTTTCTGTTTGTTTTCTTTTCTTAACAGAAGCAGTTCTTCATTTAGTTTTAACCATTTGATTGATTAAAGCTGCTACAATCTTAGAGTGGTCTAATTAATCTTGTCATACTAAACATCCTGAAAATATATAGCTATCTTCATAATCGTCAGTATCATCATTAAAAGTTCCTGCTGTTTAGAAATGAAATAACAAAAAAAAATGCAAAATATTAATTGCATACTTATTAGTAGTAGTAGTACTCTTCGTATCTTAATTTATTAAGTAGGCGAAATATAAACATTTATACTGTCAACTAAAACATATAACTTTCTTTCTCTATCTTTTTTTTTTTTTTTGTTGTTTAATTCTATTTTTATTCTTTTTCGTATGCATACATTGCTCGTTCGAATCATGGGTAGAAGCACTGACCGTGTTATGAGGGACCGTGAGTCAGGCTGGGGTCCACATAGTCTGCACTGGTGTAAACAGATGTTATGGGATTTTTTTCTAAATTAAGTTAACCTTAAATTATATGGCAGGGGTCGGAGAATATTAATACTGAAGAGTCAAAATGCCTCGTGTATTCATCTACAGAAAATGATGCAAGCAGACGAGATATCTATCTATCACACTGTGTTCATTTTTTTATATATATATATATATAACTGTGAGTGTTCATTTTTTTTTATCTAATTGTGAGTGTTCAATTTTTTTTTAAAAATTATATTATATTTCAATTTTTCCATATTTATATCTATACATTATGATATGGACCAAGTCCGACAATTATTGTTAGACTTTGTCCATTTCATAATGCGTGACGTCATTTGTTTACATTTGGATACGCATCGAGCAGATATGAATGTACGTCAGAAAATCATGGAAAATTGTAGTTTTAAAACAGTAAAATCGACCTTGCTAACCGAACGCTCCTCTGTGGAAAAATCGGTAAAAGCACGTCAGACTATATAACGGTTCCGTATAGGATACAGGTTCGATTCCTGTCGGAAGACGCATATTTTCTATGACAAATTCTCGGATATTCAGGCCGGTAAATGTTGTTAATACTGTTTATTATAAACAGAGCATTTACTTAAATAATTGCATCTATAAAAAAGAATGTATATACATAAAAATGTCTTAAAATTTATATCTATATTGTTCCATTAAAATTAACTGGCCTATGGCCATATTGAAACACCGATTCTCGTACGATCACCGAAGTTAAGTAACGTCGAACCTGGTGAGTACTTAGATAGGTGACCTCTTGGAAATACCAGGTCCTGTACGCTTGCATGTGCGATTCGTGTAATGGATAACGATCGAGTTCGTTAAATTTACTTAAGCGTAAATACACTGCTCCCACCCCCAGCTATGGGTAAAATAGTTGTTGTATCAGTAAAATCATAATTATCTCTAAAGAATTCTCACAATCTAAAATTATTCTGGCTTTAAATAACCTTCAAATTGTTGACAGGCCATAAAAAATCAATCAGTCAATTAGAATTTAATGTTTATATAGCGGATTGCTTGTCTACGAAAGTCTATTGGCATTTGTATAATTCTCTTATATTTGGGCTTTATATATGCAGATATATGCCTCTACTTACAAACTCATGGACAAGTTGAAACACAAGATTATTTCTCTTTTGATAACTTGTAAAATTACTCAACAGAATCTGCGCGTTTGGAATTATTTGCAAATATATTCATTTATTTGTATTGTTATAAAAATATACTTTTTTTTAATTTTGTTTATGTCTGTAGAGGCATAAGAAAAACATATATTAAAACTCGGAAATACTTTCATTAAAATTTTAAAAACAGACATTTTAAAAGTATATATAAATATATAAACAAATCTATTAAAACAAAGGGTGAAGAAAAGCGAGGGCAACACACAAAATAAAATGATTATTATTACTATTATTTTATTTCCTTTGCTTTCTGGTCTATACACATTTCTTTCTGGGTCGCAACCAGAAAGCTAAGTTCAGAAATGGTATCATGACATTTTCGACTGAGAAGTTCTGAAAAAAAATCGCACATGTTTTCCATAGATTCAGCCCTTCGTAAGGTGTGGGTCGTACTTTTGAGTATAATTTTTTGTATTTCTTTAGGGCATGAGTTACCAAGGATTCATTCAATGAGTCTATTGAAATCTTTTTCCAACTCCAACTGGAATTGTTAATGCGCCATATTTTTGAGATTTCGATTTCAAGATCCTTATATTTTGATAGTTTTTTGATGATCTTCTAAAATGCATTACAGTCTGCTGGGACTGCCATGTCAATAAGGAGACACATTTTGTCCTTGCGGTCTCTAATCACGATGTCTGGGCGATTAGCTTTGATTGTTCTGTCCGTGTGTATTGTAATTATTATTATTATTATCATTATTATTATTATTTGGGTAAAAGTAACACTTCATATGAAAGGAAACTTTTCTTGTCATTACTTACCTGTTATGTCAAACTGTGCGTTGAGAATGTGGATCGTTCCGCGTGAGCATGCTGTCTTTTCTTTTTTTATATCGTTTTTGGCTGAGGAGGAAGTGACGTAAGTCGTTAACGATTGGTCAATAATGGCATTTATTTAACGAATCCATTTGTTGCGTGCTTGGTGTAATTTTTTTTTTTTTTGCTTCAGGATCGCCTGCCGGAATAGTACTGTTTCGGTAGGGTCTCTTCGGTGAACAAGTATGATTTTGGAAGACCCGAAACTTGTCATGACATAACATCACTGACGAGGCGATCCTGGGCACTCGTTGGAGTGTTTCCATGTCAAATTAATATTATTATTATTATTATTATTATTATTATTATTATTATTATTTATTATTTATGATTTCGTTGTGTAACAACATAAATCAAGTCAATTCTATCACAATCCTTTCAAAGAGAAACATTACGATTTCTTCAGACGGTTGCAATTGTACTGATTCCCATTTGATATACGCCACCTAATGTAGCAAACATGATTTATGTGTATTGCATAACGGAAAATTAAATAAAAGATTCAATAACCACAGGTATAATGTCAGACACAACAACGGAGCTTGCGGTACATTTTATTATAAACGACTGTAATTTCGACAAACATCTTAAGGTGCAAATTCTGAAAAAAAATATTCAAAAGCCAACAAGCTTGCAACGCTTAAAGCGCATGGGCATAGTTACGTATGCAAATTATTAACTTCCTGTCCAGCGGGGATGAAAAGAATGACAAGAGAGTTCCATAGAATTTTATACTTTGTTTGATTAATTTCTCTTAGAAACTAATCAACAAACGGAAATTTTCAAGATGAGCAAGATCACTATCATATTATGCACATTTCAGTTGTATGCCATTCACGCTGGCGGCTTTTCATTCGTTTTGACGCGTTCATTACCAGTACAGCCGTTTTTTCTCAAGACAAGCGACGTTTGTACAAAGATTTATAATCTTTGTAGATTTTTTATAATTTGTATAAAATTTTTTAACATAACTTGAAGAAGGCTGACATACTGTAGAAATATTGTTGGATATTGTTAAGGACTATGTCTCTGCTTTTATTTTTATTTTCTGAAATCGCGCTCTTCTCTTAACTGTTGAAATATATATATATATATCAGTTTGGTTCTTCTTCGTCTTTTTTTTTTCTTCTTCTTCTTATTATTATTATTGTTGTTGTTGTTATTATTATTATTATTATTATTATTATTATTATTATTATTATAAACAATTAAATGATGGGTCAAAAATTATGACAGAAAAAGACAAAAAGGTTGTATAGGTTATATAGACAAAAAAGGTTATCGATCTTCGCTCTTCAGAGCTCAATCAAGAACAAAACATATAAATATGTTCACAAGAATGGGCGGAAAGTCGACCAGAGAATCAGCTGTAAGAATTACAATTAGCTTATATTTAATCTAGAGCCATTTTCTTAAATCGTTTCTACCAAAAGAAAGCGATAATGTAACTGAGACACAAGGAGTTACTGAGACGGAAAGAAAATGGGAAGACCTTACTGAGGAGAAGAGAAAATAATGGTCTGATGTTCTATTTAAACTTTTGAAGATCGTAGGTTATGAGAAACAAGAAGCAGGAAGGGATTTCCTCAAGCGAAAAGTGCGAAAAAAGAAATGGAACTTATAGTTACATCTAACTATTTCAAGAGTAAAACGTTGAGATCTTTTTGCTAATCTAGTAATACATCTAAATTCACGCGGTCGTGGTACCAAGGAAGAAAACACAATAGAACATTTGTCATGAAAATATAGAAAAGACAGAAGGAAGCCTCTTTGCTGGGACAAAATTTTATCTGTTTCTGTATTTTACTGCTGATTCTCTGGTATTATTTTCCCGCTTTTTTGAATGGTCATATTTATATGTTTTGTCCTTGATTGAGCTCTGAAGAGCAAGGATCAATAACTGGTTAGCTTATTTTTTGTTTCTTTCAGCTATATTTTTCGACCCACCACTTTATAGCAAAAAAATAAAAATAATTATTATTTATATATACTTTATTTCTCTTTGTTATATATATATATATATATATATATATATATATATATATCATTTCACCCAAATGCAAGGCAGTAAAGCCACAAAGGGTTACTGAGTTTAAAGAATTAGAAAACAGAATCATTATCAAGGAGCGAGTTCAACAGAAGCGTAATCAAGAAGACAGTACATGCGATTAACATTGCATTTAAATATTTTGAAGATCAAAGTTTACTGGAAAGCATGGAGCCGGAAGAGTGTTCCACAAGCGAGAGGTGCGAGAAAAACTGTTAACATAGAACTTACATCTCAACAGTAAACTAATGAAACCTTGTGACCAATCAAGTACTGCGCTTAAATTCATAAACTTTAGGTACTATAGTGGAGAGCTCATCCGAACAATTACCAGGAAAGAATTTTTTGAAAAGGCACAGAGAAGCTACATTACGGTGGTGGGGAAGTGACTGAAGCTGAGACACCAGGTGAGGACCAATAATATTGCTAATTTGGATTTTATTAAGAATCTATAAATATATAGCAGGAGAACCGGGGCATATGTGGGAGCAATATTCAAAGCATGAACGATTGGCAGACTTATAAATATGTAAGAGAGAAAATTGTCTAGCAATATACAGTGCACCAAATTTCCTAGAAGCTGACCTAGTAATAGATTCAATATAGTCTTTCCACTTCATGTCAGCGAAGAATGTTAGCCCGAGAAGGTACAACGAGTCCCTCTCCTCGAGGTTAGCATTAGCCATACTGATTGGAGGCAAAAAGGAGTCTTGATTATTAATAGAGAGAAGTTTTGTTTTGGATGCTTTGAAATTAGCAAGTCTTTCCTTGTCCCTGTTAATAGCAGATTGTAGGTCGTTTTCAGATCAGCTGCCAATTTGATCATATGGAAGTGATCAGACTTACTATCGAAACATGGGTAAATGGTTGTGTCATCAGCATACCAAGTTGAGAACTGATACCATCAAGAATGTTATTGATGAAAATTAAGAATGAATTAGGTCCAAGGATAGAGCCCTGAGGGATAGCTGCATTAGTACAAAAAGAAGAGTGGTCATTTTACGATTTGGTAAGAAAGACTGAAAAAATTCGTCCAGAAATACAATCTTTCAACTTATGAAGAAAACTTGTATGCTAAACCCTCTCGAACGCGTTCGAGATGTCCAAAACAGAAGCTCAAGCTTCACTATTTTATCTAAAGCGTGAGAGATTATTTCTGTAATAATCGATAATACATCAGAAGTTGACTTAGAGAAGTGAAAGCCATATTGCTTGTCTGAAAGAAGGCGCTTTAAAGTGAAATACTTAAACAGTTCAGAGTTGATTAGGGCTTCTAGTCAGAAAAAAAGAAGTCAAAGGCTAATAGGCCGATGGTTAGCAGTGACCGAGGGTTCACCCGAGTTCTTAAAGATTTGAACAGAAGAGGATTTCTAACAAGAGGGAAAACAAGAAGCAGCAAGATACTTATTGAAGAATTTAGAGAGAGCAGGAGCCAGTTTAGGAGTACATTTCTTAAGGACTATTAGAGGGACACCATCAGGTCCACATACTTTATGAGAATCCAGTTTAGAGATGATAGCAACGGAACAACGGAAAGAATTTTATGCATATCATTCAATAGAAACTCAGTTCTAAGCGTAACGTTAGACATGTATATTCCTGGTGAGTGAAGAATATAGTTTGAAGAGAATTTAGGAATAAAACATTCTCCTTTATCAACAGATTTTAACACCGCAAAGTGAGTGAAGAAAGGCAGAATAAAAAAAAAACCACACTCCTATTTAAT